TCAAATTTTTAGCCGTGAGTCGTGATACGGACCCCCCCCATTGAGACCCTCTGGTTATTGGCTACCAACTGGATTAACTTATCGAGTAGATACATATTCTATAGATTTGTCTTTAATTGTTTGTCTTTTATTTTTTAACAGACGATTTGCTAGATGCGTTAAAAATGCTCAAAGGTATTGCGCAAGAWAATGAGATTTTTGGGCAGAATTATACCTTCGAACTGCCAAATTATAACTCGTTTCCACTTGTGCGACAGGAAATACTTTATTTTAAACACAGTTTGCCAAAAACAGGATATATGGCCTTTTTACAGGGAATGAACTAGTCCGGTTGCGCTTTCTGGTTTTTTTTTTTGTTTTTTTTTTTTTTCAATTGCCTTGCTCACTTAAAGCATTAGAATAATAATCTTGCTAAATAAGCATGTTAAATCAAGGCTCCCAGGGTTATTTAGAGCTTCATTGGGATTTTCCACAACAAGAGTTGCCCAAATTAGCACCACTATAACATAACACTAAGTTCAGGTAAGCAAGGCACAATTTACCTTCAAGTAGTTGTTCATCATATCAGCAAAACAGTTCACTTCCAGCTCTCCAGTGACAGGGTTACGACGAATTTTTAGCTTGTCGACCTTGGCTTGAGGCATATTACGTAGTTCATGGCAAAACTCCTTTATTGAGTCAAAAGATGATGATTATTTTAATAAAATCCTGATATACCTAGTCGGCTWATGCCATTATTGTTTCTTTGAAAGAGAACTTCGTCTCCAAAAAGAAATTTGAAATTTAAAAAATGCCCAACGCTTATTAGCATAGTGCAAGAAACTATGACAAATTGACGCCTGGGGCAAGAGTAGATTTCGTGTGACTGTTGGCAATGGTGAGGAGAATACAGCACGGCACCACGAAACCTCGCCTTATCGTCACTCCAAATAAAAATAAGAATTCAACAATACATCACAGCAACGACACGGCACTAACTTTTTTCTCTCTCTCTGTGTTTTTCTTTTCGCTAAATTTCGTTAGATCATATAAAATTGGGTGTAATTTCGAGAAAGGATACCTCAATGGCGTCAAATCAATATTTGAATTAGAAGCAGTCGATTAGATGAAGAGTGAAGCGAAATTTATTAGTGTTATCAATTATAGAATCAATCGACCAGTCGTTTTAACCTTTTTCAGGAAATCAACGAACAAGCAAACTGCCTTCCTGCCAACATATCAAGCAACGAGATACATAAATAGTTAAAAATATTTTTAATTAAAAGAAACCAAACTTGAAAATTTTCCCATTTTGATAAACTTATGATAAACAGATCCTTCATTTTCCTTTTCTTTTTAAACAAGCGGATTTCAATGGCCGATATTGAACAAAATCGTCATTAAAAATTTTTTAGAAGACATCTGATTCCCCACATAACTCATTGAAAGCATGCAAGCTGTGTGCTTTAATTATCAATCAATGGTCTTACCAGAAGTGCCATTTGGCATGGTGGAGGATTCATATCAAAGCTTTCGTCGAATACTGTGGTACCTCTGCATTTGTAGTCCGTATAGTGACACTGGTCTCGATTCTGTGGTTTTAAACCCCATATTAAGTTGACTTTAATCACTTTGTCTTCTTGACTTGGTTTAAAGACCGAACGTCTTAGCTCTTTAATGCTATACCAATTGGTTCCTTTACCCCATACTGCCACCTTAAAAAAATTTAGTATGATAAGAATTAATGACATCGTTTGGTAAAAGCGCTAATTGCTATAGGCTTCATACGACAACAAAGGAAACTACTTGGGGTCTCTTCCCAAATTGTCTCATTTTCTATTTAATTTTTTTTTTCAACGCTTGGTTAGACAGATGGATTGTAAGCAATTTTTCCTTTAGACAATCATTAGGTACTATACAGAAAATGGGCTTTGCCCTACAATCTTCTCTTATAGAAAATTGAAGGGAAGGGAAGTGTAGGGAAGGGAACAATGAAAATTAGATATATAATATTTAAGATTCTTAAAAGGTTCGCATTTCCTTTTTTAGTTATAAAAATGTCAATTTTGAAGAGCCACAATGTTTGTCAAAAGTGCGCACACCAGAACGTTTTTGTATAAATATAGCTGAAAGAGGAAAATTGCAAAACGACAAAGTGCTTTATGATATGAAGTYTTACAACATCGTTGTTTAGTCTAAGTAAACACAGAAAGCCACTTCTCTTCGATATTTTAGCATAGACTAGAATATTGAAGTTTCTCAGTACATAATTCCCTAAAGAACTCTAGAACGAAAAAATAAGCCGGCTGATATGTAAACAAGCTCAAGTACGTAGGCAGCTGAAAGGGTAAAATAACAAACTTGAACTTTGTTTTTAAAGCATGCTTTGCGGTTAGAGCTWAACTTTAAAGAGACGGTCTGCAGTTATGAAGAAAAAAAAAAACACAAAAAAAAACTCGCAAAAAAGTCCAAAAATAGTACAGCTTAGTGGATTTCCCAGAAGCTCTTCGTCAGAAGTACGTTTTTGCATATTTTGTAAATAATTTTAAAGTTTGTTCATAAAAGGAGGACTTCATCTCGTGATGTGTTTGTGCAAAAGAGTTTACAATCACGATTGCATGCAATGAGGTTTTTTTGTCTGGCTATTATTCTCTGGCTTTCTTAAACTGAAGCACGTGATGATAATGCAATGCTTTTCTCGTTGAAAGATGAGTGTATTAAGCAAAGCGAAAGTTTACAAAAAAAAAACGAAACACTTTGTTGTCTCACTTGTAGACAAGCAGTTAGAACAAAACAAATTCCAAAATTTAAATGCTTTGTCTCGGAGCGTTTCAGTGTAATGGAAATAATAATAACTGAAAATATGATAGTCCGAGTAAGAATGATAAGTTTTCATTCCCTTTGTTGTTGTATATATATCTGCATCTTGATACACAAATGGCGGCAGAGAGACAACTTGCTTGTAATTTGTAGTACGAGAGCCTATAGGAGGGTTTGGGCGTCAATTTTGCATTTATTCCAATTAGTTTATAAGTTAATTCGATAGATCTGCTGTTGCTACTTATTCTACACCAAGAGTARAAGCATTTTAGTAACCTTAATGTAACTGAAACTAAAAGTGGGAAAATACATTTATTCGACAACTTACTTTTTAAAGCATATGGCCTTAGGACAAATGGTGTATAGTAAATAAAGGTGTAAAGSGCTTTCATGAAAATCTTTAATAATTCAAGCCAGCTTATTCCTGAAGTAAAGTGGTATAAGTATAAAAAGAAAGGCACCATTTGCCGCGAGACCTTTCTATGGATACCCCTATCAGACCTCTTTATTATGAGCACCTCTATATTAATAGTGACAAGGCGTATTATTTAGATCAACTCTATATCACTCATGAATAGCTGTGAGCGGCTGTTTCCCAGTGACATCCTTATCCCTATGTTATTGACATTTTTGGCAAGTCTGTGAATAACTTGTAAAGCTCACTAAACCTTTTCAAAATGCTTAAAATGCTATAAAAAATGATTCATGTGCAACATTCATGATTAGTGTTAAATATATTATCACAAATTCAATATTCCGATTGACTACTATTCATGTTAGAGGATGGTCTCGTGTAGAAAAGAAAATGTCGAGAAAAGTTGTTTGGTTGTGTTCTTTTGTCAAATTTTCCCTATTGTTTTGCTATATGTAACACGTACTTTACTATTATTTTTGTTATTATGAGTAACATTATTATGCGTTTATCATATGTGTACATGTGAAACAAAAAGAAATTTTACCTGGTCTTCGTCAGGTGTCAATTTGATGGCAAAGAATACAGAAAAAGATATTATCAATGCAAATATTGACAGTATAATCCATCGGACAACTTTGTGGCCAATCACATAATCGTAGAACCTTCCACCCAAGAATTTCACTATGTGTTTATGAGGCTGTTGGAATTTCTCAGTCCATCGTGGTTCTTGTTCGATAGCCGGTTCTATTTCCAGCTGATTTCGGTTTGTTTCTTCTTTCTCCGTCCAACCCAGTGACGCAAAGCAATTCCATTTCCAGTCTTTCCAATACAGCTCGTATGTTATGACAACAGTCGGGAAAAATGTTATAACAGAAAAATAGTTTACAAATACCAGCAGCGCTGAGAAAATTCCAAACGTCGAGACGCCAAGAAGTGGCGAGAACACACTGGTAGTGAACGCTACGATCGTAGTGAACGAGGTTATAAACATGGCACTAGCGGCTCGACGATACACGAATGCCAGCTTTGCTGCCAAGCTTGGAAATCCTCTCTCATCAGAACCCTTCCAAGTGTCCAGAAAAACAAAAACATCATCGGCACCAATACCTAATATGATAAACACGGATAGAACATGAAAAATCCCAATATATCTACAGTCAAGGATCATTCTGTAGACGAAATTGGCGCCAAAGAAGCAACTGAGAATACTAAAAACAGCCCAGCCAGTTATCCATAGGGAGCCGGTTTGATACAGCATGAATAGGAAAATGAAAGTAAAGCTTGCACCAGCAAGTAACAAATCATAAATTACTTGCTCGGAGATAGCGTTGAAAAATAATGCTCTCAAAAAATAATAAAGTCTGATGGAACCTAGTCCCTTTTTATACTTCTCATTTAACTCATCAGCAAATGCCTCTTTCGCGTATTCCTGAACTTTATCCCATTGCTCATCGGGTCTATCTTCCGTGTTGGAAAAGCCTTTGAGTGGGTAGCCAATAAAAAAGAGTGTTCTAGTATAATACGCGTTAGCTTTGTTGTCTTTCAAGCTTATCTCGGCATCTCTTGAAAGGTGAAAATCCAGTAAAGCACGGGTTAGGTTAATTTTTGTGGCAGTGGCCAGTACCTTTGGAATTGATGTAAATTCAGGATCGTAGAAGTTCGGATGTAGCCTTCGAAAAGTGCCATCGAAAAATCGTAGAATCGACATTGGAAGACGACATTTACCATTTCCTTCAACTTGACAGAGCTTTGATTTATACACTTTGTTATTATAAAGTCTCTGTTCTGTTCTGTTAATAATTTTTAAATTTCTCCGACTGAAAACATTCCCATTTCTAGTTTCGTAAACAATTTCGAGTACGTCTCGTCGACAGCTACGTTCTCTCTGTTTACCCACAACCAAAGGGTTTAAAGTCACGCTTGGATCCTGACGAACGAATTTCCAAGCATCGGCTCGAAGCTTCCTCTCATCCGTTTCCAAATTCAAAGGAACTTGTGTAAAATCGGCCGGTAAAATGTCATATCCAGAAAAATATAATCCAGCAGTCGTGATGATCAAGATACTGTGGGCTGTCAAGAGCAGACCTGTGAAAATAAAAGAGATTTATATTTCTTCGAAATCTCATCTCGATCCCCATCCGTTTGTGCTATTCATTCTTCAATTCAAAGATTATTTTCAATAAAATCCACTCACCAAATAGCAACTTTGGCCTTTGAACAAACAGTCGAAAGACGTAAGCCGTCATAATGTWGGGAAATTTCCTCCTAACATAATAACTGAGTAACTACAGTTCTTACTGAGTCACCAGAGGTTGTTGTAAGCCGTATTTTTATGTCAAGACAAACACAAAGCAATTTGCATAAATGTACCCGCAATGCAAATGAGTCACACTGGGTGGTTGGATTGTAACGTATGTGTATAGCTCTCCCATGAAAGAAACCACAATAAAAATTTTCAACACGAAAATGCTTTTGTAACRAACATATAAAAGCGAAAAAACGTCGCAGCTATCTAAATGTATTTAGTTGTTCTTTGTTTTGACATTTCTCCTCGTGGTACATTATATATGAAGACACAAAAGGCGGCACCTGTCATTTCCACAATACCTATAAACTGGAGATGATTTTAAACTATGTTTATACCAAAACTACTATTATCAGAGATATCATTCGCAGCTGAAAGTCAGTCTTTTCGAAAGGAACGACAAAAAGCAAAACATAGATGATAAAGAACTTTTGGCAAATAGTTCAGCATTGAATATGATGACATTAAGTGTTCAAAACATTGTAATTTATAATTGAAGAATAAATGTTGACCAAAGGGATTTTTCACTTGATTGTAAATAGACTCTGATAAACGATAGAAAAAGGAAGTARACATTTTTTTTGCGAAACGAAAGGATTGACTCTTGAATTATAATCATGCCAAGATATCGTGCTCTATCACAGTAATAATAACACAATATGCTACCTGCTCCAGAAAGAAGATCATATCGTGATATCAAACAAAATATCAATGCTAGTTCTTTTATGGCATGTTGAGTGGAATTGTATTTCACCTTAGAAATAGTACAATGGATAATTGATAACTTAATTCATTCCAGAAATTTTTACACGAAACTTAACCAGAACTTCAATATACAGGATTTTCTTGTCTAAATAAAGATCGAAAAATAGCAAATTTGAGTAAAAACGAGAGTGATAAATAGTTAATAAGGAAAATTTAATGAAGTTGGCATACTTTCATGCCAAAGAGATATGAGATGCTAGTGAATGAAACAATAAATTAAAAAAAATGAAAATAAACGAGGTGATTTAATAAAGATAAAAAATAATAATAACAATAATAAAAGAATGACATGAGATGAGATAAAATCGAAATCGGTGAAATGCTTGGAATGGGATGATTTCTTATCGTAACAAAGATACAAGTTGTATAAAATGGCATTTCAAGTCCCTTTGTAAGTCATTTAGTGTTATCCATCAAATAACCAGCCAATCCTAAGTCTGACCATAAGTTGTGATCATTTTTCGGGCAAGTCAGCGGATTTTAAAAAAAAGAAGCGCTTTTGAAGTGGACATATCAAAAAATTGCCCCCACAAAGTTATCCTTCGTTTAGCAGCCATATATGGTAATCTTACCTTATTTGGAAGTTCGATAGGAATGGTTTTTGTCGATTTTCTCGACTTTTAAAGCTTGAAATCGTCGGAAACTTGCAGATATTATAGCGAAAACACTTCTAAACAATCCGCCATTTTGTTTGTTTCCATATATGGCATGGATTCGCTAAAGGAAGCCCAAAACTTAAAAGCACAGGGAACCCGCACGAATGATATACAATTCTTTGATATGATGCATTCAGGTGACCAATTGCATTCATATATTATTCAGTTATATTCATTTTCAACATCATTGTCCAAAAAATAGTTTTATATAGAAGTTGGACACGATATACCCAACAAAGGGCTAGACTTGATGGACATGATGYGCACTCGCTTGGATTTAATTTAAACAGCACAGGAAACCCAAAGGTCTTGAAACTACATACTTGCAAAAAATGCCTCAATCTCGTACCCAGACCCCTCACTTTTGCCATCCAGCGGAAGTTAATGCGCAAGAGACCACAGGCTTACCAAACTATTGAGAAGAGACCTTTTAACGGCTTCCGGCCGATAATTGCCATAGGAGCCCTGGAGCCGACCTGTCTTCTTAATAATCTGGTAAGCTTTGTTTTCAAGTCGATTTTTCAAGTCGCCAGCGTGAGCTTGCCTGTTTAGTCAASAAAATCATACTTTTATCATCGAAACACACATTTTTTCACACATTTTTGTTTCTATTTTATTTAGTGTATGCATTATAAATGGTTTAAAAAAATTTYCCCTCCCTATATATATAGTGCCAAGAGAGGAGACTCCGCTCRAAATTCTCCTAAAAATGAGCCAGAAACGATCAACAAAAATCTTTTTTCGCGCCGAAATTAAATAAAAACGAACATTTACCTGARACAAATTTTGTAGAAAGAAACCCAATTGTGCTCAGCTTGATGGAATTTTTCGAAGGTTTTGACTTTCTTTGTAGAATAATTTGAATACTTGTATGTGTTCAATTTGTTCAATCCAATCCTTCGACTATGAAAACGAAAAAGGTGGGACAAGACGGTAATTAATGGAAAGAGGCGGAACTATCTACAGAATATCTGGCCCTGTGTGGATTCAACTACTGCTATGTTAATACGATCTCTCGATTAAGTACAACTGAACATGCTAATTGTTTACTTTGTTTTGTTTTTCCAGTTATCTTTGTAACGAAAATGTATTTACATGGATTCTTCTAGCTTGACCTAGAGCGAGCCATTTTTTTTTTATTTCTTAGAATCTTCTCTTGTGTTAGATTGTTGGTTTTCTGTTTTCAGGAGCTTCTTATTTTCCTGTGCTATTTTATATCCTATGGTTCTTTTCGGGATAAATTTACTGAATGGGTATATCTTCTGTAATTCATAAAGAGGACAAAGAAAAAAAAGAAAGGAAAGAGAAGGATGAAAATATGAAAAAGCCTAGAAATGACCTGGGAATGACCTAGAAGGGAAATTGAGGAATACAAGGATTGCGGCATATTTGAGTTCTGTCACTTCACGCT